CGCGTCTCGGAACGTACATTCAAATACGCCATCTCTCCCCCACCCGGAATTGCTGTGCACAGTGCTGTCCTCTCAGATGCCGATGCTGCTCGGGGCGTGCTCCGTCTCGCGGATGATGAAAGACTGCTGGTAGAGTTGGCATGCGGCGTCTGTGTCGAGGCAGCCATCGGCGATGTGGCCAAGGCACGCCCCTCGGGATCAGCAAGCACACATTTGGCAGCCGAGCAGGCAGCTCTGACTGGGAAGAAGCGGAAGAGGACAGAGGCGGGATTCTCCCAGCGGGATGAAGGGTACGGCGATGACCGACTGTCGTCCGGAGAAACCGAAACGGAGCCAGAAGAGACAGGCACCCAGCCTCAAGCACATCCTACTGACAATATGTCGTCGCCGTCGCACGAGTTCCAATCCAAGCTGAAGCAGTTGGTCCCGAACCTGCAGCCGGACAGTCGAGTGGTGATCATCGTCTGCGGAGGCAGCAATGTCACCATCGACATGGCGGCAGAGTGGAGGAAGATGTTGCAGGAGGGTTGGGGGGCGTAAACCAGGCTTTCCCACAACAAAAGATACAATATTCCCCTTAATAACGGATACGATTGCTTGATTTGACGAATGCGTTCATGCTACGGCTATGGGATTTGAATTTCTTGGAGTACTTGGGATCATTTTACAAGCTAGAATGGAGGATTTGTGAATTTGACGCTGAAAATGACTGCCACTGAGGCCATTTACTGTCTCATTTCAACCCCCTCTGTCATTATTTCACAGAGTATGATAGGTTTAATCAATACCTTAAGTATAGACTTCTTTTTTTTTCTTAGAGTTGGAGCTGCAGACCTGATATGGACTTGCCCACTGAAATGTTCAGGAAGACGAGTTGTTCTCCTCTTCGTCCCTCTCTGTCTTTTGTCGTTCTTTCTCTCCTCTTGTCCTCCTTCCCTTCTTTCTTTATTCTTTTACTTCCTCATCCTTCCTCAATCTTTCGTACTATACAGTTGGATTATCCCGGTCAAGCGCCCAACTGTGACATCTCTACTAGGCTGCGTTTACATCAATGAAGGCACAATGTGACAACCACATGAGTAGTGTAGTTGGACTCGCTGGAATAACCGACGAGCCCCTCTGTGTCCTCCCGGAGTACATTCTGTCCAGCATGAGATTGCACCCAGTCGTTGCCGTCGCGGCAGAGCGTTTGGAATTCCCCGTGATGGAGCATGGAATATCTGGCTATGTATCTGTCCATCATATCTATTCAGTTGTTCTAAATATTTATTTCGAGGGCCGTCAGCTCCACGATAGACGGGCTATGCTCTTCGCTTTGGTTTCGCTCTCCTCTCTCGTACATCACAATTTGGAAACTAGCGAAACATTGATGACACAGCCATCTTCAAATAAGGCAGGCCTAGGCCAGGTTCGAAGCATTGGATCTGTAGATGGCTTAGCCTTTTAAATCCTACACATTGTTCTGTTTCAGGTAGATTCATTCTTCTGAGAATTATGCAATAGACTAACTGCTTCTTGTGCACTTCGACTGTCTCCCAGACACACCACCTGCACCTTTGCTTTACGTATAAGACAGACTTTTCTGGCCCTAGACGCTGAGCGTTCCTCCGTAAACATCACAAATACCAAAATCCGCTGTAGAATCGCAAATTATGTACACGGGAAACCAAAGAAACCCAAGAACTTTAACTAAGACAGGTAGAAGTAATACAAAGCATCATATATGAACTATTGCAAGAGACTTCCCAAATCAAGCGGAGGCAGATATCTCCGTAGCCTGTGTCGCAGACGCCATAATCTGCCGGATTCGATACTCCCAGTAGTTCCTCCGGATAGGGTCGTACTTCTCCTTGAGAAGAGTGAGCATCTTGACCGCCTCGGCTGCACTTCCTTCCTTGGATGAGGCGCTTTCGCTTTCCTCCGCGTACACGTCGGCTAACCACTCAATAGCATGGCTACTTTTGACCGCAACATCCACCACCTGACCGCTCTCTTGCTTTTCGACCACGAATCTCCGGGCAAAATCCTTCCACTCTGAAAGGGGTCTGCCGGCTGCCTGGAATACTCCGCGCGCATACGACCATGGACTGCGGTTCTCAGGAGCTTCGAGGATCTTAGTCTGCGAGTACTGCAGCTCGGCGTCGACTAGGTCTTCGTCAACAACTGGCAAGCGGCCTTTTTCCGACGATGGTCCCGTGGTATTGTGTAGACCGGCGTCGTACTCGTTTTCATCACGCGGTCCAAAGCGGAGCATGTACCGATGGTTCCAGGCGGAGTTGTTCCGGACGTCAGATCTCAGGAGCGCCTCCACATCCTGGATCTCGCGCGGATAATCCCAGAGTTTGAAATGTCGGACAAGCCAGTGGCGGTATGTCCAGACGTGATAGTTCTTGGCGTCCTGGGCAAACATCTCCATCAGAAAGTCCAGCTCTCTGGGCGGAAGAGTTGGAAAATGAGCCCGCGAAGACATGAGAACTTGGCGGTGGTGCCTGTTGAAGTATGTCAGACGGATGGGATGCGAGGTGTACTAGAACTAAATACTAACCATATCTGGTAGTTCTTGAGATGCTTCAGAGCGACTTTATTGAGCCATTCAATCTCCTCATTGAGATCTTTTCCTAGGGCGAAAAGATTCTTAGCCCGGTATATCCTACACAAAAAGACATTAGTCATTTTGATGCCTTTTTAAGGCGGCGAGGCCTGTAGTCTGATCTCACCAAACTGTGTAATGCGCTGGGTTCATGGAGATGATGTCTTGTGTCAGTCTCAGCGCTCGCTCGGACATCTCGTTGGCGGCCATTACAGCTCGCAGGTAAGAAGTAGCCTCGAGATATTCTGGGGAATAGGAAATGGTGGCCAACGGCATAGCGCCGGACTCGCTGCCATCATTGAGCTCGATGGGCTTGATAGATGCCCACTCTGGATCCGACGAGTATTTTCCCTCCATGCTGGGACGGGATAATGATTGGTGTTAATTTGAACGAGTCAAGGAGCAGGAGCACACAAGAGGAATTCTCCGGGAAGAGTTCCAGAGCACCTTGTCAATGTTAGAGTTTTGCTTTAATGCAGAAGCATGTGAAATAATCAAAGTGAAGTATCCAGTAAAGAACTGTGTTGATCTTGCTTGGAGAAGATGAGATGGTAGTATGCTCACAGTGTCCACAGTCCGTTTCCACAGAAATGTAGGCTCTCCCTCGTCAGAGTTTAGTGAATAATCAATTGATTCCAGATCGCCAGTGTCTATACTTGTATTTAAATGGCAGATGTAACAATAAGTAGAAATGATCACAGCGAAGAGGCTGGTGCGGAGTAGTAAGGAGGAAATTCATCAAACACACGATAAGATAATCGAGTGGGGTTGTGGCAGCCTCAGGCGGCGATCCCGAACAATATCAAGACAACAATACCAAGCATCTTTCCCTCTTTGCCTCCTCATCCACAGCCACGAATCATCTGATCTTTCTTCTTTGTCCAACCATTGATTTGGATGTACAGAAATAGGTCATGTCAAGGGAGTTGCCATGGAGCCCTCGAGACCCAGTTAAGAACAACGAACATTCATCCTACTTGGTCATCATGTGGGTTTCTGGTATCTGAGATGAAAGAGGTCAGCCACGCGGCGCTGAGCGGAGTCGTGCTCCATGCTTTGGATGCTTATCTGCTTTCGCAGCAGTCTTCAAGCACCTCTTGATAGGAACGCCATTGTTTGTTGCGGTAACGATGCTGACCTGTTTCTTGTTTGACCGGTTCGAAGGGTCTCATCATCAAGCCAGTTTCCTACCAACGGGGACTCTGTGCCACCTCCAGAGAGCAGGGGATCAGTGAATCGACATAAATGGTCCTGAGAGTCTACATGATTCATATACTTCCCTGATAACCTCCAACTTGCCCCAAACAGGCAAACGTCCCAACCGCTCTCTAATTGGACGCCGCCTGCTGATAAGCTCGGGGTTTCCCCGCACGCAGTGGCATATCTATTATCTTGTCCAGATGACTTGCCTCTACTTTGAGCGGTAATGGGGAGTTTCCAAGTTTCTTCCATCTCTCGATGACAGCCTACCCGCTTTATCGTTGTCTCAGCCGATGAGATTGAATAGTTATGCGACGAGTCAAGAAGTCCCGCAACGGTTGTGCTAGGTGTAAGAGCAAAAGGGTGAGTATGTCCTCAACCTATTCCCGTCACATAGAGCCTTGACTTTGTGAATACAATGATTTATTAGGATCACTGAACGTGGTGATAGGTCAAATGTGGGGAAGAAAAACCACACTGTAGCCGATGTACCCGTTTGGGGGTGAAGTGCCCCGGATATGTTCAATCTTTGCGCTGGGTGACCAAGTTTCAAGAGCCCGACAATGATCAAACGAGCTTCTCTGAAGCATCCGTATCCAGATCAACTAAATCCCCAGGTCGCCGGCCCTCCACTTCACCCAAACCGCCGGTCTTCATCAATTCATTGCCACAGGTCCCATTGGCCTTAGATAGTAGCAACTTGAATTTAAACGGTTCACATGAACCATCCGAAACAAGAGTATTGGAAGCGAATGGCGGCAGTGTCTTGTGTGATAATCTATGGGATCTCCAGAGCACAGGCTCTCTGCCTGAGTTGACAGATCTTTGCCCTCCATCGCCAGCGTCAGCATCGCCTCCAATATCAGTGCCACAACGGGAGAGCTCGGTACTCGACTTCGGAACGCCAGCGAATCTCACAAGCTTCTTTCCGTTAGCAGGACCAGTGCTCCAGCATAATTCTCATCATTCTTCCGATTTCTCGCCTTCGACGATCATCCGCACGTATTCCTCATCCCATCCAAAGCCGCCTTTGCACGATTTCACCTCGATTCCTCAAACGTTGAATAATCCCTCCTGGACTTTGATTGAATATTACTTCAAAGAGGTAGCCGCTCTGTTCTCTAGCTATGATAGTCAGATGAACCCATTCCGGTCGACTGTATCACGTCTCTGGGGCTCCTCTCTGGCCATGTGCAAGACTATGCAAAGCATGGCAGCAGCCACCCTGGTGAACGATTTTCCAGAATTCGGCCCCTTGGGACAACGCATGCGCAACGAAGCAGTGGAGATCATTTCCAAGGAGACTACCATGGACGACAAGTCCCTCCTGGCTCTACTTATGCTTGGCCAGACCGCCAGTTGGCACGATTCCAAAGATTTAGGCGTCTCGTTTTTCAACCTACTTCGGAAGCATCTGGATGTCAAGGCCGCGGAAACTCCCAGTCAAAATCACGGTAATAATCACCAATTCTTCGAGGAGGCTCTCATCTACTGGGAGATGCTTCTGTCGTTTGTCGCGGACGACTCGGCCGTGTTGTCGGGGAAATCTGCCGCGGGAATAGGTGAATCAGTCGTCCTGCAGCGGGTGCCCCATCCTTGGACAGGGATCGCCCGCGACACCCAATTCACCGTGCAAGAAGTAGGAAGATTAATTCGCGCAGAGAGGAAGAGAGTTCGTGCTAGGAATTTCACCTCTCAGGCAGACATCGACCGAGCGCAGATGGCCATCACCAGGGCTCGAGAGCTGGAAGAAAGGCTGCTTGGCCTCGCTCATCCCACGGAGGGTGAAATCGTCAGTCCTGGCGACGATGAGACACCAGTTTGGCATCTTCTGACGATGGCTGAGGTATACCGCTGTACAGGCCTCCTGCAGCTGTATAGAGTTTTCCCCGATCTGCTTCGCCGTCGGCTTCCTTCCAATCAGACATTGTCTTCACAGACAGACCAACAGCCATCCGCTACTGCTCCGCGCGATCCTTTCTTTTCCTTGGACACCGACTTAAATCTCGAGAGCATGGCCTGGTTCTCCGACTCTCCCTTCCCACAGCCCGAAAGCAACGTGTCGTCTGAGCAAGCAGCATCGAGCATAACTCACACAGATTCTTATTACAGCAGCTGGTTGACCGAATTCGCACTCACCACTCTGTCCCGCCTCAAGACCATTCCCCTCGAATCCCGCACCAGATGTCTCCAACCATTTCTGCTCGTCGCATCGAGTAGCGAACTTCGCCTGCCACGTGTAACGCCGTCGGAGATCCCTGTAGACGTAGATGGGCCCCATCTCTCGTCACATGCCATCGAGGTTTCCAGGACTCGCCGCTTCGTTCTCGGACGCTTGACCTCTTTCATGCACGTCCTGCCTCCGAAGCCGATCAGCGTCTGCCTTCAACTTGTGCAAGAGGTATGGAGACGAATGGATGCGGGGGACAATAGCGTATACTGGATGGATGTCATGATTGAGAAGGGCTGGGAGACGACGATGGGCTGACAGCATTGGGACTTATTGCACCATTGGATGTGCTTGTATAACTATAAATTATGGCAATTCATGGCTAACTCATGCGATTCCCTGGACTCTGGTTGTATATATATATATATATGTAAGTTCGTTCAGCGCTCAATCCCGGACAATAATTCTCCCGTGACGATCGCAAACAAGCATACGCAACGGTTAAAGAATGAAGTACTCGAACGTAAAGTGACCCGAAAGAAGAGAGAGATGAAAAAGGAAGAAGCGCCATGCAAAAAAGAGCAGGCACCGTCATAATGAGTACTGAAATATGATACAAGAACGAAGATAGAAGATGTTGGCGGAATGAACATAAGAAAAAGCGCTGATGAAAGGCATATCATGCAAAGGTTCCTGTCGCATACTGGGGGGAAAAGCGCCCACGTTTTAGAAAGGAAGAAAAAGGGATGCAGAGTGTCCGAAGACATCATGAGAAACGAGGCGACCGTTTCCAGAACTTCCATCCTTCCCGCTTCTCCTGGACGCCGACGCCCACGAGACGCTCGATGCCCTCGGCGCCGTCTGCATTCTCGAACTTCTGTTGGTCAATCTCCTCGCCACCTTCTTCATCGGTGCCGTTGCGAAGCACAGCCGGCCAGAGAACACCGATGCCATCGCCTCCCAATGTCGTCTCGTACTTTACGAATCCTTCGGCGGAAAGCTTCTCTTCAAGCTCGCGGACAGCCTCCTCTTTGATGCCCGGACGGAGAAGAGTGATTGCGCACCCGCCGCCTCCAGCACCGGTCAATTTTGTCCATCCAATGTCGGCGTAGTCGACAAGCTCGCGAATCCGCTCCAAGCGGGGATGCGAGACACCGAGCGATACGAGGAAGCCGTGGTTGATACGTATCAGGGTACCCAGGTCTTCCAGCGTCTGGTCTGTGATACCCTTGGCGTTGATTTCCTGGATCGTTCGTTGCGCTGCTAGGGTCACCTGGTCGATTGCCTCCAGAATGGAGTCGGTCACGACAGGATGCTCATCCTTCAGCTTGCCCACCTTGGCCACTTCGACGGCGGTTGAGCGGGGTTGTCGTGTGTCGACGAGAAGGAGCGGTAGTTCGGGGAAGTTAAGGAGCGGAGTGACAGTTGGTGGCTTGGAGTAGTCCTCCCGTCTGAATACCACGGCCTTGCCGCCTGCGGAGACCGTGTTGTCCACACCACTAGGGTTTCCGTGCGTGCACATCTCCCCGACAAACGCCCAGCGATTGATGCGCTCGATTTGCACTTCCGCCTCGTCAGGAGGTTGGTCGGGATGGGGCCCGGCGAGGGTGCGGATCTGGAGGAGTAGCGCAGCGCTCAGACAGACGCAGACGCTCCCGCTGCTGCCGAGACCTGCGCCAATGGGGATGGTGGATCGGAGGGTGTAGATCGCTCCAGGGTTCTGCGGCGACCCGAGGGAAAGGAACAGGTAAAGGAACGCGGACGCGGATCGGCGATGGATCTTGCGCACATCCTCTGGTTTTCCTGGAGACACGGCCTCGACGTGGGGCTGGATTGCGGCGACGAGTTCCGGATCAAGAGAGGTGACCAGGTCGTAGTAGAACTTCTTTTTGGACGGATGGTGAAACACGTCCCACGGCAGCTCGTCAATGTCCCACGTATGGTCCAGACCGATATCCCGAAAATTCATTGTAATTGTCCTGTGCGATTTGGACAGCGTTGTGACGAGAAGGTAGGACCGAAGGGAAATGGCCGCAGCCATGGCTGCCTTGCCGTGGACAACAGCATGCTCGCCATGGACGATAACCTTGCCTGGCGCCGACACCATAAAGGCCGGAGCCATTGGCGATGAGGGCTTCCTCGACATATTTCTTTTCGTGCCGTCTGTGCCGTTGATAGTGGTCTTCACTGTGGATTCGGCCATGGAAGGAGTCGTGGATGCGCCGCCGTCAGAACTGTCCTGGCTGTCGTCGTTGCTGACTATCGAGACCTTGGGTCGTGCCGCGAGGGGCTGATCTGACAATAGGTGGGACACTGTACCACGTTGGGCACCCTTGCTGGTCTTGATGCTGCCGTTCGTTCGGCGTCCACGGGAGTTGCCCATTCGAGCTATCGGCGATGCGACGAGAAAGGGGGGTTCCTGAGAGGAAGGATTATGACGAAAGAGGATTAGAGGGGATAAGCGACTGGAATGTTATTCGCGTGCACAATGTAACAAAATATTATTATTAGTAAAAGAAATTAGTGCAATGGATTTGAATGAGGACGAAGGGAGGGTAAGAAATATGAGAGCTGTTCAATTGGCGATGAGCGATAAAAACATCCAGCGTACTTTATTTCTATCTAGTACCTTATGTACCGAGGGGTACAGCACTAGGTACGGTAATAAAGGAGGACACCCAGAGACGACCCAGGACTGTGTGCTGCGGAGAATGGCCCAATAACACGCAGGCAAATTGTCATTTGTTACCCCCAAACTACCTAGTTCTCTCAGTGGAAATTTATTTTGATGACTTTTGAGAACAAAAGTAACTGGATTCCTTTCATTTCTTCTTATTGTCAGAATCTCGCTTCTGTCAGCTTCTGCCAAAGAATACAGTTTGTTCTTTCTGTGCTGCTGACGTGCATGTGTAATGTGATTACATTTAAGATTACGACACCAAACACGCCTCAATCTTCAGTGGGTGGTGCTGACACTGGCCTTCATTCCTTCTAAACCCTCTCAGTCAAGATAATAGCGAAAAAGAAGTCATTTTACTATATAATAGTCGATTAAATCTATATTATTGTGCTAGCTGTATTGAATGAATCATGTTGCCAAGTATATGTGCAGCGCTTCAAAGCATCATTACTGGGTGGAAATCAAATAGATCATCATAGGTTCATCGTCACGGTCATACTATTGCTGTGGACCAACAGGCAGGGTGGCAGTCCTTGCCACAGAACCTCCATGTCACTCAGGTAAGACTCGCTTGTCTCTTCGCTTTCCGCGGTACCCTCGGAGGGGGAAGGCAATGTCGTGAAGATGACGGCCGTCTGACTGCTTTGCCTGGCCATCAGTTCGTTAAGAATCAGGTGCTGTGCACGACTGGGAAGATCGTCGAATGACAGGGGAACAGACGCCTGGTTGGGATATCCGGAAGCACTTCTAGCCCCGGAGGAGGAACGTCGGGTGTAGATTGATTCCAACCGGTTCGAGAAGCGCGGAGGCGATGAGCTTGGCGCAAACATGATGGACGGGCCCGCGTTTTCCTCTGTACTGACTCTTGCTTCAGGTATGGGCGAGGAAGAGAACCGGATGCTAGATGGTGAGCGGCTGATGGGTGGCCGGATAAGCCCAACTTTGCTCTTGGGAGATGCCTCTTCGCCCGTAGTGATGATGGATGGAATATCCTGCTTGGTTGTGGCTGTAATCTCCGGAGGTGACATTTGATCCGTCTTAGGCGAAGCCACGGCTTCATGATTTTGTGAATTATGACCATCAGTCTGCGGGGACCCCTCTTCTCCGTCGTCGTCGTCACTAGCGTACGGCTCAAATTCGCTATCACTACTACTCTCGCTTGCACTGCTGTCGTAATGAACGAGTGAATCGAGTAGGCGATGCGTCTTCATGCCTAGACTGACCCCTCCAAGCCCTTTGAAACTTGATATAGATCGCCGCCGCCGGGATTGGATAAATTTCCTCAGTCCACCAGCCATTTGACTCTGCGACCTTGTCATTTCGAGGCTCGATGCCCCACTCCAGCTGGACTTTCTTTCCGGTAGGTTCGCGAGGCTTAATTGGCCCGATATTTCTGGGGAATCTTTCGAGGTATTGCGGAACCGCCGTAGCTCCTGCCACCAGTCCTCATGCTCCAGCACAGCATGGACACGATGCTGGGCTTCCTCGGTATCCGGGCTCATGTCACCGTTGACAATGATGCGATACGCCTTCAAGTCGCCACATGCAAGCCAGAAGACCAGGACTTCCGCCTCGATTCGAAGTTTCTCTAGGAGGGCTTCAACCCTTCGACGCTCGTCTTCAACATCGGTCTCGTATTCCACAAATACCGCCACCCGAAGCTTATACGTCTTCTTCCACGAGGGGACTGTGTTTAAGATGCATCCTAGCTGAAGGATGAGAGTGTATGTATCAAAATTAGTCGTGAGGACATTTTGTTTGCTTTCATTATCTGCGCCAAGCTCGGCCGACATCTGAATAGGCCATAGGTCGATATACTTTTTCTTATGCTGTCCATCTGGGCTTGGCAGCTCGAGATCTTCAAATCCTTTGGCCACGGCAACATTAATCCGGAGCTTGAAGAGAAGATCCTCAAGTATAGTCACATAGCTTCTGCAGCTCATAGAGAGGTCTTGCGCCTCATTCTCAGATGACTCGCCATGCGTCTCGTGAGAGTTGCGTTTGCTGTTCGTAGAGTCTTTTCTGTGAGCGGGAAGCTGTAAGACTTCAGCAAGCGATTGACCTTTCCGAAACTGATCGATAACCACGATGTTGGGCCTCATCCCTCCAAGCCCAGAATTTAGAACGATATTTCTGACGCCCCACTCCACACTCTGAGCCACGGCAATGTTGACAAAGGCCTTGACTCGAGAGTACTCAACCAACTTTGTCCATGCACTTTGCTGGCGACGAGCTTCTGGCACTGCGGCAGAGAAGTCATCCGTCACAAGCACGTGGCCCAGCACAAATAATGCACCTTTCTTCAGTGAGTTGCAGAAAGAGACCATCTTGTACTGTTCATCGAGATTGGTCACGAAAAGCAGAATCTGAGGCCGCCAGAATTTGACATGTTCCTGACGAAGGCGAAGCAAATACTTGCGCACCTGGTGGTAGATCAAGCTTTGGCTAACATCTCCCCATGCCTTTGGAGGCGAAGAGTAATGAATTAGCAAGAACAGCACAATGAGAATGCCAACACAGCCGGTGGCATAGAGCCCATCCACAAAGAACATGCTGGCACCGCACACCAAAGTTCCGGCTGCCGCAGTCTGCCAGTTGAAGTAGTGGAAAGATGGTCGAAAATTGGGCGCGGAGCCGATCTTCAGAAGAAAGCACGCTAAGTTCATAACCAAAAATGTCATCAGGTACGTCATGGTAACAAAGGATGCGATCTGGTTGATATCAAAAAGCATTGTAAGCTGTGCGAATACAAAAGTCAAAATTATAGCATACACCGGGTCGTCACTCTTCTTGCTGCCTTTGCCGAAAAGAGTCAACCCAGGAAGGAGACTGTCGCGCGCAATGGCCTGGAGGAGTTTGGCAGAACCGATGACTCCCATCAAGGAGGAGAAGAACGATGTTGCAAACTCCCCCAGCAGTATAACGACACCGGAAACATTGACCAGCTGAAGGACGCTGGTATTCTTGTAGAATGACTCTCTGGTTATTGAGGCAGCCATTGCCAGGATCACAAGAGTGTAAGTGACGAAAGTCAGTGCCAATCCATACAGCGTTCCCTTGGGTATCGATTTGCTAGGGTTCTTCAAGTCACCCGACATGCTGGCACCCGCGAATATTCCGCCTGTAGCAGGGAACAAGATTCCGAAGAGGTCCTGGAAATTTTCTCGTCCGTGGATTTGGCTACCAGCGGCACCTTTGGTGAGCCTAGGCTTCAGGTTCTCCAGCAATGTCTGCAGGCGAATGCCCGTGAATTCAATGTTTAACTTTGGGCTACTAAATGGTTTCATGGCAATCACGGAAACTGGGATGCTGAATGTCGCCACTAGTAGAATGACTAGCAGTCCGTTACTAGCCCTCGAGAACATGGAGCTCCCGGCCAAGCATATTGCAGTGCAAAGAACCAAGACAATAGTTCCCCATAGGTACTGCCACCAGAATCCTTCTTCAAGAAAGTTGGCCCAGTTGCCCGAATCCGTGCCAAAATTCTGTGTGAAACAGTCAACGAGACCGACAGCATTCATGCCAGTATTCAGGACATAGCCTAGGTAGAATACGATGCCAATCGAGCCACCAAATTCAGGTCCTAGTGATCGGGAAATCAGATAATATGCGCCGCCGCCTCTTACGGTTCCGTTCGTTGCGATGGCGGAGAGGGACATTGTTGTTACCAGGTTGATTGTATAAGACGCAACAAGAAGTCCTGCGTTCGTCAGCAGTGTTTCTAAATAGAGAACGGAGGAGGTTGTCCGAGGCAGTATATACAGACCTAGCATCCCAAGTAAGCCAGCTTGCCCAAGAACGAACCCAAACCGAAGGAACATCAGGATACTGAGCACATTCAGTGTTGTCGGCACGAAGACTCCAGAAAATGTCCCAAGCTTATGTGCAGTCTCCGACGCACGATGTGCCGACGCATTGTTTTCCTTCTTATCAGGACTCGGTTCTCTCAACGGCCCTGCAGAGTGGGAGACATTGGCCGCCCCATTGTCCGCCGAGAAATCCTGCCTCCCACTGTCTCGACGGTGCCACCACCGAGAGATACCGCTGAAAAAGCCGGTCGGCGACGGATGACGCTGATTATCTGACCTTCGTGAAGAGGCATTCAACGGCTCATAGGGACGGGACGAGAGCGCAGTCCTCCAATCGAGGAGCCTGCTGTTGTCCTCAGGAGATGCCTGGGCTGGGTCGTTTGGATCCAACCTGGATACATCTTCTTCAGCGGTTCGTGTGGAAAAGTTCGGCCTTCGCCTGGACATCGACCCCGATTTGCTTTTGCTTGGTCCGACGTTCATCAAAAGACACAATCCTACACCTTATCGCAGTGGGGTCCCCACCTCCTCAATAGCGCACTGGTCGCAGCCGATCACAACAGAAGAGTATATCAACAATGAAGCCTTTAGCGAAGATGGAACTGCAACATATTAAGCATTATACTTGATTAAAAGCATTTGTGTTTTCAAAGATTCGAAAATCCGGCAAAATCGAGCTCAGAATGAAGCAATTGACTTGCGCTGCAAACCGCAATGCTTGGAAGTTTCGGTAATGACCTCACGCAGATACAGAGACAAACAGTGCAAATTCCTCGTTAGTCACCAGGCACAGTTCCATGCATCCTTCATCACCTTCCGTTAGCTGTTGTTATACTCATCTATACATGAGGAGAACGAATGGACACTACCAATCTTCACTGATATAAAGATAAG